GAGGAGAGAGAATTCTACTCCAGATGTGCCTGCACCAACCTAGATTCTTCTAGCTGCCCCCAGTAATATATTCTAATTTATTCTCTATTCCGTTGTAATTTTCTTTTTTGGCTATGCAAAAAATCGAGTCCAAGCCTTAAACCTCGAGGGGAAAATGGGGGTTAGTCCACATCCAGCAGTACTTAGGGTTTGCATGTGGTTCTGCACTCAGAGATCACTCCGGGCAGGGTTTGGATGACTGTATTGCAGTGCCAGAGATTGAACTCCGCACGGCCTGCAAGTATAGCCTTACCTGCTATACTCCTTCCATCTCAGCTGAGGAAATATTTTAATACAAAGGAGTATATAGTTGGGGCTGGAAAGACACTACAAGTGGGTAGGGCACTTGCCTAGCATAAAGCAGACCCCATTCCATCCTGAGAATCCCACATGGTCCCCCAAGTACTGTCAGGATTCATTCCTGGGTGTAGAGCTCAGAATAACCCCTGAGAATCACCAGTTATGGCCCAAATACAAATACCAAAAAACCCAAACCAAATAAAAAAAGGAGTATATAGTGAAATGAAAGTTACTCCCTCCATCTATTCCCCATATGCCTCTCTCCTGAGGCGATCGCTTCTGTACTTTTTTTTTTTTTTTTTTTTTTTGCTTTTTGGGTCACACATGGCAATGCTCAGGAGTTATTCCTGGCTCTGTACTCAAGGACTCACTCCTGGCAGTGCTGCTCGGGGGACCATATGGGATGCTGGGAATCGAACCAGGTTGGCCACACGCTCTGCCCGCTGTGCTATTGCTCCATCCCGGCTTCTGTACTGTTGCACAGATTTTTGCACGTGTCCATTACAAAAATGCCTATAAAAAGGAGTATACTATAAAGACTTTGTTTTTCCCCTTTAATTTTGGGGCCACACCTAGTGGTGCTCAGGGCTGCTCTTGACTGAGGGCTTGGGGATCACTCCTGACATGGCTCAGAGGATCATATGGGGTGCTGGGAATCAAATAGGACCTGGCTATGATCTACCCACTATATTATCTCTCTGACCCCTATAAAAACATTATTTTGCACCTTGACTTTTCATTTCACAATAAAACTTAAGGAGCTTATTATCTAAAAATAAATAAAGGAAAAAGTGTGCCAGAAAGATAGCCCAAAGGCTTGGAGCACCATGCTCTGTTTGGGGGAGCCCCTGCTAAATCCAGTACCTCCTGATCACGGGATCAGTTTGAGAGTTGCTCCTGAGCCCCAAGAGGAAGTAGTACTCTGGGAATGGCCCCCAAACTAAAGGCAAAATAAAGGTGAGCAGAGAGGACAGAATTTGAGGTGCTTGCATGCGGTTGATCCCAGCTGGATCCCTGACATCATGGATGTCAGAGGTGACTCCTGAGCAGAGGCTGGAGTAAACCTCGAGTAACACCAGGTGCGGCCTCAAAACAAACTCAAACAACTTCCCTCTGCAAAAGGGAAAACTTGTTCATCTATATACTGGAATGCCACACTGTTACATATGCAATCACTGTATAGGCAAGCATTGTAACAGTGTAACACTGTCCTCCCTGGTTGTTCATCATTTGCTCAAGTGGGCCCAGTGTCTCCATTGTGAGATTTGTTGTTACTGTTTTTGGCATATGGAATATGTCACAGGTAGCTTTCTAGGCTTTGCCTTTGGGCGGGATACTCTCGGTAGCTTGCCGGGCTCTCCGAGAGAGGCGGAGGAATTGAACACGGGTTGGCTGTGTGCAAGGTAAACGCCCTATCTGCTGTGCTATTGCTCCAGCCCAAATAAATAAAAATTTAAAATACACAATTTTAGCAATACTGCATTAATTTCAGCTGATCAAAATAAGATTTATATTTTAACTTTGCATGGGGAAACAAACCTAAATTCAAAAGACTGATATTAAAATGAAGGAGTGGCCAGAGAGATAGCTCAGTGGAGCCCAGGCTTTATATGCAGGGACCCTGATTCAATACCCAGCCTGCATGGTAAAGAAGCACTGTCCAAAGCAACCCTATTCAGCGCCCATGTGGTGAAGTTTCTGGCACTGTCTCCAAGCACTTAAAAGAAATAATGTAATAATCCTGAAAAGCAAAATTAATCTTTGCTTACTTTAGACAGATATATATATGTATATATATATATATATATATAAAACAGAAGATTAAAAAAACGTGGAAGGCATGGAAAGATGTTGATTATATGTTAACTAAAAATAAAGGGCATAATAAAATATTATATGATCCAATTTGAAAAATAAAGATACATACACACCCAATAGTTACACAAAAGACATTAGAAATCTGTAAATCTAAATGCCAAATTATTATTATTATTTTGATTTTTGGGTCCCAGAGATGCTCAGGGGTTACTCCTGGCTCTGAACTCAGGAATTACTCCTGGCAGTGCTTGAGGGATCATATGGGATGCCAGAGATTGAACTATGGGTGGCTGCGTGCAAGGAAAACACCCTACCTGCTGTACTATCACTCCAGCCCCACCAACTTATTTTTTTATGTGAGGTCTTTGGTTTTTTTCCTTTTTTTTTTATTTTTGGGCTATATCAGCTGTGCTCTGGGCTTAATGCTGGCTCTGTGTTCAGGGATCACTCCTGGTACTGCTCTAGGCAGTATATTTGGTGCCCTGATTGAACTGGGATTGGCAGTAAGCAAGGCCAGCACTTTAACCCCTGTACTACATCTCCAGCTCTCTTTTTAAAATTTATTTTTTGGAGAGAGAATATTGGGCCACATCCTGACTGTACCCCTGGCATGCTCCAGGGACCATGTGTGATCCTAGAGGATTCAAACTAGGATCAGCACATGCAAAGCATATGCCTTCGCTCTGGCCTGTAGGATAACATTGGTCTTTTTTCTCTTGCCACAGGGAGCTTAGGTTTATCAGGTTACTTCCATCATAGTGCTCCCATCATAGTCACTCCCATTCTTCTGTGTTTATCTGTAACTCATCTCTGTGCTCTTCTCCCCAACCAGTTAATCAACCTTTTTTCCGAATCAGATTCTGTTAACTTGTGAGGTCAGAACCTTCTAAGGATGCTGAACTTGTATTGTGAGTTAAATATTGCTTTTCCCCATCCTTTTCATAGTTTAATTTAAAGCAATGTCCTTTTTATATGTACAATGTCCTTTTCATAGTTTAATTTAAAGAAATGTCCTTTTTATATGTACACAGGAAGACATTTAATATTATGCTTTTGTAACTTGGGAGTTAATTGACTCCAAATAATATTCACTCCTGGACATCTATTTCTCAACTTACGCCTCAGTTGCTTTTAGTTCCTAGCACCCCAAAAGCAGGGTCCTGACGAGCGACTGGATGGACCCAGGGCAAGCTGTGAGCTACCCTGGCATCGAAATGGGTCAGGCCAAAAAGCCACAATACTTAGCTATAAGTCAAGAGCATGGTCATGGACAAACTCTGTCATGATCCAAAAGAGATAACTGAATAAGGACCCTGTTGGGGTTAGGAAGACTAACCTGGACTGAGGACTGTGGTCCGGAATATATAGTGAGATGTTCTCAGGAAAAACCCAACTTTAAGTGTGATATATCTCTTACTGTGTTCATACAGAATGACACTGCTAGAAATATTAGAAGTAGATTTACTACAACTATTTATGTGGATTACTAGAAGGAAGCAACACACCCTGAGTGGAATCCCACCCTTGGGTGGATTCCCTAGTAATCTGAAGTAATCTCCTTAGATGAGATTTTGTCCTGGAGTTAATCCCCTGGAGGAGTGGCCTTACTTCTCTTTGTTGATTTGTTAATGTTCAACCCCACCTCTGTATCCCCACCCTACATGATTTCTATATAAACTAGGCTGTAAGAGTGGGCTGAGAGGCCTGGGGAAAATGAGGGGGAAGCAAGAAGGAGAATGAAGGGGACTCAGAGGAGATTGGAATAAACTGCAACTGATAAGGAATAAACTGCAACTGATACCGATCAGCCTGGCCCTCATTCCTTCCTTCACCTGCCCATTGCCATGGACCTCCCCAGGGTGGGGGAAACGGCTGAGACTACCTGAGACTATCTAAGGCGGGCAGTGAGAGAGATAGAGTGCCGCTGCCCCTTTGTGTTTGCACACTGGCCTGAGATTTTAAGTTATTTAGATATTATCAACTTTGCTTACTTTTTCCCTACTCGTTCTATAAAATGCTGTTTTTATCACTTAAAAAAATTGTCCTGGGGCTGGAGCAATAGTACAACGGGGAGGACGGTTGCCTTGCACGTGGCCGACCCGGGTTCTATTCCCAGCATCACATATGGTCCCCTGAGCACCGCCAGGAGTAATTCCTGAGTGCATGAGCCAGGAGTAACTCCTGTGCATCGCCGGGTGTGACCCAAAAAACAAAACAAAAAAAAATTGTCCTGGGGGAGAGAGCTAGATCAAAGGGCTGGAGCACATGCATTCCAGAAGTCCCTGGTTTGGCACTACGTGGTCCCCACAGCAAAAGAGAAGACCTGAACTATTGAGAAGCGCTGGCTAAACAATCCCATTTCTAGACCGGACTAACGTTGCCCTTGCCTTGGTTAAAATGTGAATTTGCTTAACAAAATCTCCCCGCTACGTTTCACATTTCTGGTGTTTGTCTCCTTGGGAGGACCACGCTGGCAGCCCGCAGGCTACTTGAAGCGGCTCCCGGCAGGAAGGGGAAATGAACCCAGCCCCGCTCCCCCACCGCCCGCGAAGCGTGCATTCAGCCCGGAGCCGCGGCTCCGAGCCGACTGCACCATTTTGAGGGTCTCCAGTAAGCATCATGGATTTAACCGTATCAGTCACCGTGCTCCCGCGCACCTGGTGCAGTGGGGCAGCGGTTCAAGCCACGGCCGGCCCCGGGAGCCGCAAACCCGTTAGTTTCCCCGCCGCGGCAGCGCGGACTTCAAGTCCCGGCAGGCACCGCGGCGGGCGCCCGGCGGACTACGGTGTCCGAGACGGGGGCCGGGCCCTCCGGTCTTTCCCTCCCAGAAGCCCGCGGGCGGCGCCAAAGCCCGTCCGCATCATGGCCGCGGGAGCCGGGACGGCGGGCTCCGCTTCCGGCCCGGGCGTCGTGCGTGACCCGACGGCGTCACAGTCGAAGAAGCGGCCCGGCCGGGAGGGCGGGGAGCGCGCGCGGCGGTCGGGCGAGATGGCCGGGGGAGGCGGGAGCAGCGACGGCAGCGGGCGGGCGGCGGGCCGGCGGGCGTCCCGCCATGGCGGGCGAGCTCGGCGGGGGCGCCACGAGGCGGGGCTGGGGGGCGCCGCGGCGCGGGGCGCGGGGCAGGCCCGGCTGGAGGAGGTCGTCAACCGCTGGGTGCTCAAGTTCTACTTCCACGAGGCGCTGCGGGCCTTTCGGGGGAGTCGCTACGCGGACTTCAGGCAGATCCGGGACATCATGCAGGGTGAGGGCCGGGCCGCGGGGGGGGCCGGGCCGCGGGGTCGCGCTCGCCGCGCCAACATTGTCCTCTCCCCCAGCTCTGCTTGTCAGGCCCCTGGGCAAGGAGCACACGGTGTCCCGGCTGCTGCGGGTCATGCAGTGTCTGTCGCGCATAGAAGAAGGGGAGAACCTAGGTATGGCCGTTTTTGTGTTCTCGGGGTTGACTTCCTCCGGGGTACGGCGCTGTTGTTTGCAAACTTGGACGCGGGCTTTCGGGGCGCTGCCGTTTCCATCGCGGTGCTCCTCTTCCTTCGAGGAGGGGTCGGGTCCTTGGCTTTAGTTTCCTCCGCTGGGGAATCTCTGGGCCGATTTTCCTGGGCTTTTCCATCCGCTCCCACCTGTTTCTTGCTCGCCCCAAGTCTGCAGTTATCGGAGTGAGTTGAGACGGACATCTTCCCCCTCCTCGTCCATCCCCCAGGGGACAGTGTTTTCAGAGTCTGAGCGCATTTTTTTTTCCTGAATCGATCTCGACACAGCTGTTTGGCCCAACCATCTTCCTTGTCTGCTTGCTTAAATCTGAGACTACTTTGTGCCTTGAAATTTGAGATTCGAGTGTACGTGTTAAAAATAATTTTCTGTCTGTAAAGCGGTCCCATTAAGTTTATTGCTTCTTAAGCCTGTAACCAGTATGTCCAAATCTTAGTATATCTGCATGCTTTTTTATATCGTAGCTATTTGGGGCATAACGATTCCACCCCGAAGGAAACAGCCTAAATGCAAACTGTGCTTTGTCCTAGACTGCTCCTTTGATATGGAGGCTGAGCTCACGCCACTGGAATCAGCTATCAATGTGCTGGAGATGATTAAAACGGAATTCACACTGACAGAGGCAGTGGTCGAATCCAGTAGAAAGCTGGTCAAGGAGGCTGTAAGATTCATTTCTTTTTTTCTTTTTAACAAAAGTCTCAGGTCTTTGGGGGAAGACCGTGCTTTTCTGTTCTGTGTGGGGTAAAGAGCAAAGTGTGCAGGTGCAGAGAGTTTCTTGGGGTGCTCTTTCCAGCCCGGACTTAGAAACACTGCCGGCAAGGTACCTAGTGTCTGTAACTTTGGTGATTTCTCTTGCGGCCTTGGGGGCTGGGGCGCGGGGTAGGGCTTGGGGGTGGCAGTACAGAGTGAAGTGCAATGGAAGAGTTCTCACCTTTTTTTTGAGCACAGTGAAATGGGCTTGATATCATTGGCCTACATTTGGTCACCCTTACTTACAGGAGACTAGCTGAGGCCTTGGGAAGTGTGGGACTGACTGAACAATTTTGTGCATTTATTTGTAGAAAGGGAAACCTAGGGAACAGAATCAGAGGTACTGGATCACCAGCAGGTTAGAAACCTGGCTGAAGGCTGGGGCCTAGGCACTGTTCTTGGCAAGAAAAGCAGCCAGTGAAGTGTGGAGGAATTTGGGACTGCCGTGGCTCAGGCGGCTTTAAGTAGAACTTATTTCTTATTTAAAACATAGGAAGTGGCCGTGGGAACCAGTCAGGAAAAGCCTTTTCTTCTCCAGTAACCAAGATTAGGGGTTGTGGGAACAGATGCAGAGGTGGGACTGGAGAGAAATAGCTCAACGTGGCCTTGGCTGGAAGTAAGGAAACTGCTAAGGAAAGAATAACCCCCTTCCCTCCGAGGACGGGGTCTTAGTTGCAGGGATGTCAACCTGGGTGAGCGAGGAGGAGTTTCTGAGTCCCTGTGTGTATTGGGACTCGTAATGGCACTCCTCAAGTGCCATTTAAGAAACTGAGGTGCAGGTAGTTTATTTATTCAGTAAGGACCTGGGGTGGGAACTACTTTTAGTCTTGCAGAAACTGCTTGATCTAATATTACTCCATTCCAAGGAGGAATAATTTCAAGAATAGATTTTAGTATTAGTTAGTCAGATCTGTGTTGGAGGAGAAATGCCACCAGGGAGGAGAAATTCATGCCTACTCTAAGATTAGCTAGGAATTCTTTTTGATAGGAAAAAAATAAATCAAATTCAGGGTAATTCCTGTAACTCCCATTACGGTGCTGTTTGAGAAATGCAGCTTCTTCACAACATGAGACTACAGATTAGTCCTGCCCCTTTCCAAAAGGAGTCTTTGGACTTCCATCCATTGATTGCCTGTTTATATTGTTTTCCTAGCATTTAACATCACAGCCCTCTTATGCGGGGACTTATTACTATCGGTAAAAATCTAAATTCCCTGAAAATAGTCAATCATTTTCTTAGGTTGACTTCCTTTTTCCCATTTTCCAGCAGGTATCAGATCTCCTGTTAAACTTTGTGCTGTTCAGTAAGTTGGACTAAGAGAGCTTAAAACAATAAGCTGGGTATCAGGTTGTGGTTTAACTAAGAGGTTCTGGCTAGAGTCCCTCATGAGAAACTCAGGTATTTCCTCGGGTTGCACTCGGCTCAAGATGCAACTGGGTGGCTGGGGTGAAAGTCAGTGGGCTGAGCACATGCTTTATATGCAGGGGTCAGTCCTGCCACTCTGCTCAAGCACTATTGTGCAGGACCCCCAAGTACCGTGTGTGTGGCCCCACCCAAAATAGGTTGTGTCCATGCTTCCTCAGAGATTTTTTTAGTAGGACTCCGTGTCCTCACTATTGACTCCTTACCTCTGCACAGCTTTATATCCCACAGGACAGCTTGCTTCCCCAAGGAACTGACGGGGAGGTCAGAGAGAAGCCACTGTCTTGTTCTGTTGGGGCTGGGTGTTACACCCATCAGTATTAGGGCTGTCTGGGACCATGCAGTACCTGGGGATTACACTCATCCTCTTGTCTGCAAAGCATGCACTCTAACTCTTTGAACTATTTTTTTCCCCCCTCCATTTTTTTTCCCTTTTTGGGTCACACTCTGCGATGCACAGGGGTTACTCCTGGCTCTGCACTCAGAAATCCTGGCGGTGCTCAGGGGACCATATGGGATGCTGGGAATCGAAGTCGGGTTGGTCGCATGCAAGGCAAACGCCCTACCCATATTGCTCCAGCCCCCCACCCCATTTAAAAAGTAAATCTTGAAAGTGACATAACATGACTTTTGTTATGCTACTGATAATACAGACCAGACCAGCTGTGGATTATGAAGTAGAACAGAACTGTGTAGGAAATTGGGAGTCTTAGGGGTCATTTTAGAGACTGACTCAAATTATCTTGATTTCTTGGAGAGCAAATACCATATTCATTTGTCAGATTAAAACTTAAATGATCTAGGGATTCTCTGTAGGTTTCTAGGATCTTTTTAGCAGTCACAATTTTTCATAATGCCAAAATGTTGGTTGGCTTCTCTTTTGGGGGGGGGTTGGTTTTGGGACCACACCCAGTGGTGACCAGGACTCACTCCTGTCTCGATGCTAAGGGATCACTCGTGGTAGGGCTCCAGATTGAGTGCTGGGAGTTGGGCCCAGGTAGTTGCATGCAAGGCAAGTGCCCTACCCGCTGTACTATCCTGTAGGCCCCTTGATTAATTTAAATATATTTTTGTGTCTTAGAATGACCAATGGTGAATTGTACCAGTTAGTAGTCATTGTTTTCATTCCATGTGCTGGCAGTTTAAGGAGGGGGGAGCCAGTTTCAGTTAATAGTTTGAGGTATAGCAAAAAATACTTCATTAAATATAAATCCTTGAGCAGACATCTTTTCAGTATTTTGTGTGATGGAATTAGGATGTTTGCCTGAAGCACTTCTGCATAGAGAAACAGAATGGTGGTTTATCGGAAAAGAACTTGTCTGGCTGAATTGTATGCTGATAGAGATGCTTTTTAAAAAATGAAGTACCATTTTTACTTGAAAACAACAGTCTCTAGTTATTCAGATTTTGGTAATTGGCAATTATTTCCTTGAGAAAGTGATGTGAACCTGTTAACTTCCAGGAAAACAATAGCGTTCTTCATTAGTGGTAGAATTCAAGCCTTCATGTGAAAAGCAGAAGCATTTCAATACTTAAAAAATTTTTCTAATGAGGTTGGTGATGATACAGACAATTGGGATTTCTAAAATACTTTTGATGAACATGTCCACAATGAAGAATCTATGTAACTTCATAAAAGGCCATTTAAAGTGTAAGACTTGGGACAAGGCAGTATGGACGCTAAGGTACTTGCCTTGCACGTGGTGGACTCAGTTTCAATTCCAGGCACCCAGTATGATCCCCTGAGCATAACCAGGAATTATTCTTTAGCACAGAGCCAGGAATAAGCCCTGAGCATTGCAGTGTGACTTAGCCCTTTAATCCCAAAAGTGCAAGATAGTCTATGAGGTTTTAATGTTAACAGCTTAGGAAAAGTTTGTAGAATTAAAGAGTATTATCCACAGTTTTCTTAAAAGGAAATTAAAATACTTTCCTCCGCCTTTTCTGAATTCCTATATGAGGCCAGGTTGGGTGGATGTGAGGTTCAGGGATTAGATTTGGGCTTCACACCTGCAAAGCATGCACTCTTAACCACTGCACAGCATCCTTGAGGTGGCCAGATTTTTGGTTTTGCTTTGGGGCCACACCTGGCAGTGTTCAAGGTTTATTCCTGGTGGTGCTCCGGGGAGCATATGGGATGCTGGGGATTGAGCCTGGGTCTGCCACGTGCAAGGCAAGCACCCTACCCACTCCAGTCCCAGGCCAGATATTTTAATTTACATCAACCATTATCAGCAGACTGAATGCAGAAGCAGATTCGAGGATCCATCTTCTATTAAACCAGATATTTAAAAGATTGCAAAAGTGTAAAATAGTGCCACCCTTCTCATTATAACTTTTGTCTTAGAAATATAGTAATTTTTCTTAGATGTTACTTGTATTAACCTGTAATTTGTCATTTTTTAAATGAATTAATAAATACTTTAAAATTTTCTGTTTTATATTTCTAATGCGGTGCATATCAACAAATACATCCCCACACAGACAGAAAACTCTTCAGGGTGCTCATTAAGAGTATAAAGGAATCCTGAGACCAAGAAGTTTGATAATTGCTTTTGTGGACTGTTAAACCATGGCATGGGTGTTCTCTCTGAGGAAAGACTCAGATTTCTTTGGAACACCTCAGAGATTAACGTGTCTGGCATGTTTTTGCAGAAGCGTTAGTTCCTGCTTTTTGTTGAGCTTTCTCTCCTTTGCTCTTGATAGGGTGGGGCTGGTGCAGCAAATACACAGCTTTGTACTCTTTTTTTTTTCTTTCTTTTTTTGGGGGGGGGGACTGGACACACCCAGTGGTGCCCACAGCTTACTCCTTGATTCTGCACTAAGGAATTACTCCTGGCAGTGCTCTGGAGACCATATGGGATGCTGGGGATTGAACCCAGGTCTGCTGCGTGCACAGCAAGTGCCCTCAGCACTGTATTATTGCTCCAGTTCCTGAACTCTAGTTCTTAAAACAAAATGCTTTTTTTGATGCAGCTTTTGAAGCATTTGTGCGTCCTAGAAAAGCCCGGTTTCCTTCTGAGTTTGCTGTTTTAGCTTTTCTTTCCCCCAGCTCAGTGAGTTTGGTTTTCTCTTCCTCTGTGCTTTCTCCCAGTATATAGAAGCCTGCCTCATCTATATGTAAGATCTGTATTTAGCACTTCCTTTTTAAGTTAGCCAGAGACTTGGTATCTCATACATTCTAATAAATAACACGAGAAAACATTTCTGAAAAAGCAATTGTTCTTTTTTAAAACAACTACATTGGTAGATTAGAGAGAACTTAATGTTTGCATGGAGGAATCCTGGGTTTAAAATGTACATTCACAGCACAGCCTCTGGAGGCAGGCTGAAAATTTGAAAGCATTCTCATTTCCTTTCACAAGTAGAATAAGGTCTGTGTCCCAGGTCTGGGAAAGACAAGGTAAGCATGCTCTTTCTGTTACAGTTTCAGCTAGCTCGAACACTTAAGAAACATAAATGGTAGCAAACTTACTGGGAGGTGGCCA